GATTTAGGTACATAACTCATCTTAGAATCTAATAAAGATCCACACTTATTTCTGTGGGTCTACGATCGTTACTTAGATAAGTTACAAACGGCTTAATAAAGTCAATATAACCCTGATATCTTCTGATTGTAGTCATAAAAATAAAAGGTTTAGTTATTGACACAATGAAGATACTGAGTATATAATTAATATTTTGTTATGGTCTTTAACCCTACAATGAACTGGTTTTTAATAAAACAATTATATTTTCATTATTTTCAATCTAACAATCATTTTAATTAAATAATAAAAATGTATGATTTTAAATTGAAATATTTGAAATTAAGGTTGCACCAACAAAACCTTTTGGAGTTTTAACAACTTACAGTAAAAGCTATAAATGTATACTTACCGATCATAATACCAATATTATATTGAAATGAGATTCCCGAATGATATTAGTATAGGTGCTTAGCAAGTGATTTAGAGGAAAAAGAGGTCTTGAAATTTGTACTATCCTATCGCCCTAATATTTTTACATTTATTTTAAAGCTTTATTTAAATCTGTGTTTCTGTTAAATAACTGGAGCAATTGTTTTTTATTTAGCGTCATATAGGAATTTTGCTTTTTCAATTTTGTTCTACATTTAAGGTCTGTATGAAAGTACTTATTGTAATACAAATTTCATTATTATTTATTGTTATTTAGAAAAACAAAAAAATGTATAATTTATTTGTTGCTTTTGTTCATGGTTGTATTAAAATTGACAGATTATATTAGGAATTGTTTATTGTTTCATTTTGTTAACAAACTAAACGATGACAAGTGTCAAACAATTGTAGGAATAAATGGCTTGTGTGAAACGTCAATCATAAAATTCTGATCCACAAAAGTAAATAATTTTGAAATTATTTACTTTTGTAGATAGATAGATAGATAGATAGATAGATAGATATATAGATAGATAGATAGATAGATAGATAGATAGATCGAGATAGATAGATAGATAGATAGATAGATAGATAGATAGATAGATAGATAGATAGATAGATAGATAGATATAGATAGATAGATAGATAGATAGATAGATAGATAGATAGATAGATAGATAGATAGATAGATAGATAGATAGATAGATAGATAGATAGATAGATAGATAGATAGATAGATAGAGATAGATAGATAGATAGATAGATAGATAGATAGATAGATAGATAGATAGATAGATAGATAGATAGATAGATAGATAGATAGATAGATAGATAGATAGATAGATAGATAGATAGATAGATAGATAGATAGATAGATAGATAGATAGATAGATAGATAGATAGATAGATAGATAGATAGATAGATAGATAGATAGATAGATAGATAGATAGATAGATAGATAGATAGATAGATAGATAGATAGATAGATAGATAGATAGATAGATAGATAGATAGATAGATAGATAGATAGATAGATAGATAGATAGATAGATAGATAGATAGATAGATAGATAGATAGATAGATAGATAGATAGATAGATAGATAGATAGATAGATAGATAGATAGATAGATAGATAGATAGATAGATAGATAGATAGATAGATAGATAGATAGATAGATAGATAGATAGATAGATAGATAGATAGATAGATAGATAGATAGATAGATAGATAGATAGATAGATAGATAGATAGATAGATAGATAGATAGATAGATAGATAGATAGATAGATAGATAGATAGATAGATAGATAGATAGATAGATAGATAGATAGATAGATAGATAGATAGATAGATAGATAGATAGATAGATAGATAGATAGATAGATAGATAGATAGATAGATAGATAGATAGATAGATAGATAGATAGATAGATAGATAGATAGATAGATAGATAGATAGATAGAGATAGATAGATAGATAGATAGATAGATAGATAGATAGATAGATAGATAGATAGATAGATAGATAGATAGATAGATAGATAGATAGATAGATAGATAGATAGATAGATAGATAGATAGATAGATAGATAGATAGATAGATAGATAGATAGATAGATAGATAGATAGATAGATAGATAGATAGATAGATAGATAGATAGATAGATAGATAGATAGAAATTATCGGTATTTGGAACTGAAATATTATTTATTAAAACCAATTTGTGGATTATGTTTATTTGAAAATATATTTTATTTTGTTTTAAAATAATTACAATAAAATATAAATATAAATGTACATTTACAAACCTACAAAACTTATTACTATAAAATAGTCACTTTTCTTCTCTAGTTTTGAGATATTGATGGTAAAAACTATATTTATGTATCAGGGATTTTGCTCTTAATTCTGTCCAACATTTCCAATGGAACACTACCATACCACGCTTTTCCGCTGCTGTAAAATTATTAAAGATTATAGGAAAATAAAACAAAATAGATGTTAAGATATAAAATAGACTAAACTTACCTTTTCTATCCCATTTTCCATATTAATTTACATTTAATTGTTAATAGTTTTATTATTCAATTATAAAATCATTTTATTTTATTTATTTTTGTATACGTCAAATATAATTACCAATTGATCGGTTGTAAACATCGAATTTGATTCCTTTAACCGTAATTAAATTTTAAATAATTTTATCAGTTGATAATTGGTTGCAGTGGTCAATATTTTTACTTTCTACTGTTTTTCGATTACAGAGACTAATATCTGATGTTCTTACATTTTATTCCTAAATAAAAGTCGGCTGCATTTACTGAATTCACAAATGAATTTAATATTCAATAGAATTCAGTTCAAATTATTGATTTGGAAATTGTTACAATCACAATTCGATTAATATTTAATTCTGAATATAGAACATCAGTTAATTATACAGTTTTTCAATAACATCTATACAATTTTAATTAATTTAACTAAATATTTATCATGGTAACCGATTACCAATCGATCTGTTTTCTGTGTGTAGGATAGATAGAATATATAAAATAAATAGGATAGATAAGAGAGATAAGAGACATTGGAGAGATAGGATAGATAGGATAGATAGGATAGATATGATAGATAAGAGAGATTGGAGAGAATAGGATAAAATAGGATAGATAGATAGATAGATAGATAGATAGATAGATAGATAGATAGATATAGATAGATAGATAGATAGATAAGATAGATAGATAGATAGATAGATAGATAGATAGATAGATAGATAGATAGATAGATAGATAGATAGATAGATAGATAGATAGATAGATAGATAGATAGATAGATAGATAGATAGATAGATAGATAGATAGATAGATAGATAGATAGATAGATAGATAGATAGATAGATAGATAGATAGATAGATAGATAGATAGATAGATAGATAGATAGATAGATAGATAGATAGATAGATAGATAGATAGATAGATAGATAGATAGATAGATAGATAGATAGATAGATAGATAGATAGATAGATAGATAGATAGATAGATAGATAGATAGATAGATAGATAGATAGATAGATAGATAGATAGATAGATAGATAGATAGATAGATAGATAGATAGATAGATAGATAGATAGATAGATAGATAGATAGATAGATAGATAGATAGATAGATAGATAGATAGATAGATAGATAGATAGATAGATAGATAGATAGATAGATAGATAGATAGATAGATAGATAGATAGTAGATAGATAGATAGATAGATAGATAGATAAGATAGATAGATAAGATAGATAGTATAGACAGGATATATAGGATAAATAGGATATATAGAATACATAGGATAGATAGCATATGTAGGATGGATACGATAGATAGATAGCATAGATACGATAGACAGGATAGATAGGAGAAATAGGTTAGATAGGATAGATAGCATAGACAGGATAGCTAGGATAGAAAGGATAAATATGATAAATAGGATAGATATAATAGATAGGATATATAGCATAGATAGGATGGATACGACAGATAGGATAGATAGCATAGATAGGATAAATAGGGTAGATAGGATGGATGTGATAGATATGATACATAGATAGAATAGATAGAAGAAACTATTACACTTTTTTATATAGTCAAATGAGAGTTGTGCTCAAGATTTTTGGAGTTTAAAAAACAAAAAAATTTGCTTTTTATAACATTCACATTCATAAATAGAGGAATATTTAAAATCTTTATTAATTTATAGGAGAAATTATGGAAACTTTTTAGAATTTTAATTTTTTAAAACGTTTGTCACTTCAGACTATTTTTTAATATTAATAATAAAATAATTTTGCTGTAATTATTATATTTAAATTTGTTAACAATGTGTTAATTGTTTTATTTGTTAAAAATTTCAAATCAGTATTTAACATGCTAATTTTTAACAAAAACAATTTAATGCAAACAGTTTCAAATTACCTCAGATTTAATCGGGTTTCATATTAATTTAGGGGAATTTACAATATTCTAACCCCTTTTAAATACGTATTTCTTACTTCAATAATTATTTAAATATAACTCTGTTATTAATAAAATATTAACAAATAATAGGTTTATTATTATTGTAAAATCTCAGTTGAACAACACACGTAAAACCAATCGATAACATTTTAAATTAAGTAGATTTATTTCTAAATTAATTGTATATTAACAGATACATACAGTTATTTTTAATTGAATACTAAATTTATTTCTTTCTACAAAAACTATAACACGCAATTCAAAATAAAAATTGTATTAAAAATTATAAATATTGCAAAAAAAGTAAATAAAATATTGAATGGGCTCTAGTAACATTCACGATTAGCAAAAAGTTCTTATTCTAAGTTACAAAATCATATAACAGAGGTTATCAATAAATCGGAGCAAAAAACTATTAATAACAAAAAAACTATATATGCCAATGTGTAATTACTTTTAAACTAAATAATTAAATAATACACAGAAAACATGCAACGCAATTTTACGCATTTTTTAAAAAGCACTTTAAACGATTATATATTAAATGCAATCAATTTTATTTTTTTTCTCTACAGAATCACTACGAAACAATACACTACTGCTGTCATAAAAAATAAAATTCTGCTGATCACTTAAAATATGATTACAATAACAATTTTAATGTTGCTATAAAATAAACAACATCTGATCATCTCAACATCTTTGTCTGAAAACTCAGCTAGATCTGATTCTTGAGAGTCACCATGAAATTTTTGAAAATGTCAATAAGTGCCAGTCAAATAAAAGCTTTGCTGCGCAAGGACTTTTTAGTGCGTTGGCGTACAAAGGTGAGTAATAATGATCTTAATATTAAATATTTTTAAAGAATTTTAATATGATCACTTTTATTAAGAGATTTTTTTATACAAAATGTCTCTCTTTCAAGGAGAGAATTTTTACAGACAATGGTTCTCTTTCAGTGAGAGATTTTCTACAGAAAATGTCACTCTTTCAATGAGAGATTTTCTATAGAAAATGTCACTCTTTCAATGAGAGATTTTCTGTAGAAAATGTCGCTCTTTAAATAAAACATTTTCTATAGGAAATGTCGCTCTTTTACTGAGAGATATTCTATAGAAAATGTCACTCTTTCAATGAGAGATTTTCTATAGAAAATGTCGCTCTTTCAGTGAGAGATTTTCCATAGAAAATGTCGCTCTTTCAGTGAGAGATTTTCTATAGAAAATGTCGCTCTTTCATTGAAAAATTTTCTATAGAAAATGTGGCTCTTTCAGTGAAATATTTTCTATAGAAAATGTCGCTTTTACAGTGAGATTTTTTCTACAGAAAATGTCGCTCTTTCAGTGAGAGATTTTCTATAGAAAATGTTATTTTCTATAGAAAAGGATTCTTTTTTATCAAGAGATTTTCTGTTGAAAAGGTGTCTATTTTATCAAGAGATTTTTTATAGAAAATGTCTCTCTTTTATCAAGAGATTTTCTATAGAAAATGTCTCTCTTTTATCAAGAGATTTTCTATAGAAAATGTCTTTCTTTTATCAAGAGATTTTCTATAGAAAATGTCTCTCTTTTATCAAGAGATTTTCTATAGAAAATGTCTCTCTTTTATCAAGAGATTTTCTATAGAAAATGTCTCTCTTTTATCAAGAGATTTTCAATAGAAAATGTCTCTCTTTTATCAAGAGATTTTTCAATAGAAAATGTCTCTCTTTTATCAAGAGATTTTCTATAGAAAATGTCTCTCTTTTATCAAGAGATTTTCTATAGAAAATGTCTCTCTTTTATCAAGAGATTTTCAATAGAAAATGTCTCTCTTTTATCAAGAGATTTTCTATAGAAAATGTCTCTCTTTTATCAAGAGATTTTCTATAGAAAATGTCTCTCTTTTATCAAGAGATTTTCTATAGAAAATGTCTCTCTTTTATCAAGAGATTTTCTATAGAAAATGTCTCTCTTTTATCAAGAGATTTTCTATAGAAAATGTCTCTCTTTTATCAAGAGATTTTCTATAGAAAATGTCTCTCTTTTATCAAGAGATTTTCTATAGAAAATGTCTCTCTTTTATCAAGAGATTTTCTATAGAAAATGTCTCTCTTTTATCAAGAGATTTTCTATAGAAAATGTCTCTCTTTTATCAAGAGATTTTCTATAGAAAATGTCTCTCTTTTATCAAGAGATTTTCTATAGAAAATGTCTCTCTTTTATCAAGAGATTTTCTATAGAAAATGTCTCTCTTTATCAAGAGATTTTCTATAGAAAATGTCTCTCTTTTATCAAGAGATTTTCTATAGAAAATGTCTCTCTTTTATCAAGAGATTTTCTATAGAAAATGTCTTTCTTTTATCAAGAGATTTTCTATAGAAAATGTCTGTCTTTTATCAAGAGATTTTCTATAGAAAATGTCTCTCTTTTATCAAGAGATTTTCTATAGAAAATGTCTCTCTTTTTATCAAGAGATTTTTTATAGAAAATGTCTCTCTTTTATCAAGAGATTTTCTATAGAAAATATCTTTCTTTTATCATGAGATTTTCTATAGAAAATGTCTTTCTTTTATCAAGGGATTTTCTATAGAAAATGTCTTTCTTCTGTCATGAGATTTTCTATAGAAAATGTCTCTCTTTTTATCAAGAGATTTTTTATAGAAAATGTCTCTCTTTTATCAAGAGATTTTCTATAGAAAATGTCTCTCTTTTATCAAGAGATTTTCTATAGAAAATGTCTCTCTTTTATCAAGAGATTTTCTATAGAAAATGTCTCTCTTTTATCAAGAGATTTTCTATAGAAAATGTCTCTCTTTTATCAAGAGATTTTCTATAGAAAATGTCTCTCTTTTATCAAGAGATTTTCTATAGAAAATGTCTCTCTTTTATCAAGAGATTTTCTATAGAAAATGTCTCTCTTTTATCAAGAGATTTTCTATAGAAAATGTCTCTCTTTTATCAAGAGATTTTCTATAGAAAATGTCTCTCTTTTATCAAGAGATTTTCTATAGAAAATGTCTCTCTTTTATCAAGAGATTTTCTATAGAAAATGTCTCTCTTTTATCAAGAGATTTTCTATAGAAAATGTCTCTCTTTTATCAAGAGATTTTCTATAGAAAATGTCTCTCTTTTATCAAGAGATTTTCTATAGAAAATGTCTCTCTTTTATCAAGAGATTTTCTATAGAAAATGTCTCTCTTTTATCAAGAGATTTTCTATAGAAAATGTCTCTCTTTTATCAAGAGATTTTCTATAGAAAATGTCTCTCTTTTATCAAGAGATTTTCTATAGAAAATGTCTCTCTTTATCAAGAGATTTTCTGTAGAAAATGTCTCTCTTTTATCAAGAGATTTTCTATAGAAAATGTCTCTCTTTTATCAAGAGATTTTCTATAGAAAATGTGTCTCTTTTATCAAGAGATTTTCTATAGAAAATGTCTCTCTTTTATCAAGAGATTTTCTATAGAAAATGTGTCTCTTTTATCAAGAGATTTTCTAGAGGAAATGGGTCTCTTTTATCAGGAGATTTTCTATAGAAAAGAACTCTCTTTTATCAAGTTATATTCAACAGAAAAGGACTCTTTCTTATCAAGTTATTTTCTATAGAAAATGACTCTCTTTTATCAAGTGATTTTCTATAGAAAATGTCTCTCTTTAATAAAGAGATTTTCTATATAATCTGAAGAACTAGATTCTTAATGAAATTTAAATTTCCATTAACATTTCAGTGGTTGACTGCAGTACAAATCTTATGGCCCTGTATTATATTCCTCCTACCCTATCTGATACGTTTAAAATATGAACCGGTCCATCATGAAGCCTGCCAATTTCCCACACGTCAGCTGCCTACTGCTCGTAATACAATGCCGGGATTTTTATCCTACATCTGTAGCATTGAAAATAAATGCTCAAGTACGGAAAATTATGAAGAATATTCTAAATTAGAAAAAGCACCGTAAGTTCATTTAATTTAATTAAATTAATAGTATTATTATAAAATCTATTATTTTATTTAATTACTTTATTTATTTAACAAAAAAAGAAAAACGTAACTTTTCAAATATTAGTTTTTCTAACAATCAGATTAAAGATTAATTTAAAACACTTGTTTGCAAACTTTAAACGTCTTCCATTTGAGTATTTGATTAAAAAGTTCGTATTGCTATTTGCTTGCAGCATGAAACCGATTATTGATATCGTGCAAATATTCATTAATGAAGATCGCATGTTTACCGCTCTAGTCGAATTACCGGAAAAGGCAAACTTTATAAGTGCCGTGACAACTTTAGTAACAAACAGTCACTTTGATGATATAAGAAGTAAGTTTTTAATACTTAATTCCTAGAATATAGAAAAATAGATTGATTCACTTGTTTTGTTTGTAAAATAGGAAATATTGAGAAAGTTATAGCTTTAGTGCCCGATGTGGAAAAAGCTTTAAATGGCAGTTTTGATATAAAGAAATTATTCTCAGGTGAGTTTAGCTATCTCTAAGATTTTTTGAATTTATTTGAATTTCCTCAAAAATTTGTAGATCGCAAAACTTTTGTGAAAGCTGGTAATTTATTATGTGGCCATCCGTTTCCCAATACTGAAACTATACCTTTGGTGGAAGATATCTTATATTCTGAGGATTTCAGTGAGGCCAATCAAGATGAATTAAATGTTATGCCCAGTAAGTAGTTTGTTTAACTGAAAGCTATTTATTCACTTCATTCATTAATTGTTTAAAATTGTCTATTATTAGCCCCTTATTGTAAACGTTTATATTTGGATGTGACTAGTTCCAATTATGGTAAAATAACTTGGGAAACGATAAAGCCCATTATTCATGGCAAAATTCTATATGCCCCCGATACGGCTGATACTAATTCCATAATGAAATTTGTAAGTATTTCTGAATCTTTAAAATGTTTTTCTTTCAGCGAGAGTCTTTTTAAAGAAAATTTCTTTTCTGTCGAAAAATGTTTCTATAGAAAACTCTTTTATCAAAAAATTTTCTGTAGGAAACTCTTCTATCGATAGATTTTCTATAGAAAACTCTTCTATCGAAAGATTTTTTTATAGAAAACTCTTCTATTGAAAGATTTTCTATAGAAAACTATTTTACTGAAAGATTTTCTATAGAAAACTCTTCTATTGAAAGATTTTCAATAGAAAACACTTCTATTGAAAGATTTTCTATTGAAAACTCTTCTATTGAAAGATTTTCTATTGAAAACTCTTCTATTGAAAGATTTTCTATAGTAATCTCTTCTATTGAATGATTTTTTATAGAAAACTCTTCTATCGAAGATTTTCTATAGAAAACTCTTCTATCGAAAGATTTTCTATAGAAAACTCTTCTATCGAAAGATTTTCTATAGAAAGCTATTTTGTGGAAAGATTTTCTAGAGAAAACTCTTCTATCGAAAGATTTTCTAGAGAAAACTCTTCTATCGAAAGATTTTCTATAGAAAACTCTTCTATCGAAAGATTTTCTATAGAAAACTCTTCTATCGAAAGATTTTCTATAGAAAACTCTTCTATCGAAAGATTTTCTATAGAAAACTCTTCTATCGAAAGATTTTTTATAGAAAACTCTTCTATCGAAAGATTTTCTATAGAAAGCTATTCTATCGAAAGATTTTTTATATAAAACTCTTCTATCGAAATATTTTCTATAGAAACTCTTCTATCGAAAGATTTTCTATAGAAAACTCTTCTATCGAAAGATTTTCTATAGAAAACTCTTCTATCGAAAGATTTTCTATAGAAAACTCTTCTATCGAAAGATTTTCTTTAGAAAACTCTTCTATCAAAAGTTTTTCTATAGAAAGCTATTCTATCGAAGATTTTCTATAGAAAACTCTTCTATAGAAAGATTTTCTATAGAAAACTCTTCTATAGAAAGATTTTCTATAGAAAACTCTTCTATAGAAAGATTTTCTATAGAAAACTCTTCTACCGAAAGATTTTCTATAGAAAACTCTTTAGTCGAAAGATTTTCTATAGAAAACTCTTCTATCGAAAGATTTTCTATAGAAAACTCTTCTATCGAAAGATTTTCTATAAAAAACTCTTCTATCGAAAGATTTTTTATAAAAAACTCTTCTGTTGAAAGATTTTCTATAAAAAACTTTTCTGCCAAAAGATTTTCTATAGAAAACTCTTCTATCGAAAGATTTTCTATAGAAAACTCTTCTATCGAAAGATTTTCTATAGAAAACTCTTCTATCGAAAGATTTTCTATAGAAAACTCTTCTATCGAAAGATTTTCTATAGAAAACTCTTCTATCGAAAGATTTTCTATAGAAAACACTTCTATCGAAAGATTTTCTATAGAAAACTCTTCTATCGAAAGATTTTTTATAAAAAACTCTTCTGTCGAAAGATTTTCTATAAAAAACTTTTCTGTCAAAAGATTTTCTATTGAAAACTCTTCTATCGAAAGATTTTCTATAGAAAACACTTCTATCGAAAGATTTTCTATAGAAAACTCTTCTATCGAAAGATTTTCTATAGAAAACTCTTCTATCGAAAGATTTTCTATAGAAAACTCTTCTATCGAAAGATTTTTTATAAAAAACTCTTCTGTCGAAAGATTTTCTATAAAAAACTTTTCTGTCAAAAGATTTTCTATTGAAAACTCTTCCATCGAATGATTTTCTATAAAAAACTCTTCTATCGAAAGATTTTCTATAGAAAACTCTTCTATCGAAAGATTTTCTATAGAAAACTCTTCTATCGGAAGATTTTCTATAGAAAACTCTTCTATCGAAAGATTTTCTATAAAAAACTCTTCTATCGAAAGATTTTCTATAGAAAACTCTTCTATCGAAGATTTTCTACAGAAAACTCTTCTATCGAAAGATTTTCTATAGAAAACTCTTCTATCGAAAGATTTTCTATAGAAAACTCTTCTATCGAAAGATTTTCTATAGAAAACTCTTCTATCGAAAGATTTTCTATAGAAAACTCTTCTATCGAAAGATTTTCTATAGAAAACTCTTCTATCGAAAGATTTTCTATAGAAAACTCTTCTATCGAAAGATTTTCTATAGAAAACTCTTCTATCGAAAGATTTTCTATAGAAAACTCTTCTATCGAAAGATTTTCTATAGAAAACTCTTCTATCGAAAGATTTTCTATAGAAAACTCTTCTATCGAAAGATTTTCTATAGAAAACTCTTCTATCGAAAGATTTTCTATAGAAAACTCTTCTATCGAAAGATTTTCTATAGAAAACTCTTCTATCGAAAGATTTTCTATAGAAAACTCTTCTATCGAAAGATTTTCTATAGAAAACTCTTCTATCGAAAGATTTTCTATAGAAAACTCTTCTATCGAAAGATTTTCTATAGAAAACTCTTCTATCGAAAGATTTTCTATAGAAAGCTATTCTGTCGAAAAATTTTCTAAAGAAAACTTTTCTTTTCTATAGAAAACTCTTCTATGGAAAGATTTTCTGTCAGAATTTCTTTATATAGAAATTTTCTACTGAAAAAGTGCCCTTTTATGGAAAGATACTTATGTTTACAGAAAATAACTCTTTCATTCCTTGATTTTCTATAGAAAACTCTTCTCATTTACGTTCTTTATTTCTATAATTTTTGTAGTCTAATTCAACCTTTGAAGAACTGAATCGCTTAAAAATGTTATCGGTAGCATTGGAGCAAATTCTCACTAAGTTGCGTGAAGATAAACCCTTTCTATCGAAAGATTTTCTATAGAAAACTCTTCTATCGAAAGATTTTCTATAAAAAACTCTTCTATCGAAAGATTTTTTATAAAAAACTCTTCTGTTGAAAGATTTTCTATAAAAAACTTTTCTGCCAAAAGATTTTCTATAGAAAACTCTTCTATCGAAAGATTTTCTATAGAAAACTCTTCTATCGAAAGATTTTCTATAGAAAACTCTTCTATCGAAAGATTTTCTATAGAAAACTCTTCTATCGAAAGATTTTCTATAGAAAACTCTTCTATCGAAAGATTTTCTATAGAAAACACTTCTATCGAAAGATTTTCTATAGAAAACTCTTCTATCGAAAGATTTTTTATAAAAAACTCTTCTGTCGAAAGATTTTCTATAAAAAACTTTTCTGTCAAAAGATTTTCTATTGAAAACTCTTCTATCGAAAGATTTTCTATAGAAAACACTTCTATCGAAAGATTTTCTATAGAAAACTCTTCTATCGAAAGATTTTCTATAGAAAACTCTTCTATCGAAAGATTTTCTATAGAAAACTCTTCTATCGAAAGATTTTTTATAAAAAACTCTTCTGTCGAAAGATTTTCTATAAAAAACTTTTCTGTCAAAAGATTTTCTATTGAAAACTCTTCCATCGAATGATTTTCTATAAAAAACTCTTCTATCGAAAGATTTTCTATAGAAAACTCTTCTATCGAAAGATTTTCTATAGAAAACTCTTCTATCGAAAGATTTTCTATAGAAAACTCTTCTATCGGAAGATTTTCTATAGAAAACTCTTCTATCGAAAGATTTTCTATAAAAAACTCTTCTATCGAAAGATTTTCTATAGAAAACTCTTCTATCGAAGATTTTCTACAGAAAACTCTTCTATCGAAAGATTTTCTATAGAAAACTCTTCTATCGAAAGATTTTCTATAGAAAACTCTTCTATCGAAAGATTTTCTATAGAAAACTCTTCTATCGAAAGATTTTCTATAGAAAACTCTTCTATCGAAAGATTTTCTATAGAAAACTCTTCTATCGAAAGATTTTCTATAGAAAACTCTTCTATCGAAAGATTTTCTATAGAAAACTCTTCTATCGAAAGATTTTCAATAGAAAACTCTTCTATCGAAAGATTTTCTATAGAAAACTCTTCTATCGAAAGATTTTCTATAGAAAACTCTTCTATCGAAAGATTTTCTATAGAAAACTCTTCTATCGAAAGATTTTCTATAGAAAACTCTTCTATCGAAAGATTTTCTATAGAAAACTCTTCTATCGAAAGATTTTCTATAGAAAACTCTTCTATCGAAAGATTTTCTATAGAAAACTCTTCTATCGAAAGATTTTCTATAGAAAGCTATTCTGTCGAAAAATTTTCTAAAGAAAACTTTTCTTTTCTATAGAAAACTCTTCTATGGAAAGATTTTCTGTCAGAATTTCTTTATATAGAAATTTTCTACTGAAAAAGTGCCCTTTTATGGAAAGATACTTATGTTTACAGAAAATAACTCTTTCATTCCTTGATTTTCTATAGAAAACTCTTCTCATTTACGTTCTTTATTTCTATAATTTTTGTAGTCCAATTCAACCTTTGAAGAACTGAATCGCTTAAAAATGTTATCGGTAGCATTGGAGCAAATTCTCACTAAGTTGCGTGAAGATAAACCCTTTCAGGATGGTTTTGACGGTCTGATTCGTTTGGCTCAGACTCCATTTGTTCGCTCAATTATTGGTGATGAAATTGATATGGATCAAATTGAAGCTGTTATACAACGTATACGTACCGATCCCATTATCTATGATGTCATAACAACCATCAAAAATATTCTAGAATGTTTTTCGGTAGATCGTTTTGAAGCCTATGATACTGAATCAGAGTTAAGACGTAAAGCTTTTGAACTAAATCAAAAGAGACTATTTTATGCGGCTATATATTTTAATGAAACTGAGACAGAAAATGTTTCCTATAAGTTCCACATGGATACTCAAAATACACAACCCACAATAGAAAATCGTAATCGTTTTTGGTTCCCCGGACCGGCAGGAAGTATGTTAATGGATATGAAATATCATCGAGGTTTTGTACAAATTAAACAATCTCTTGATTTGGGTATAATAAAGCATAAAAAAGAGAAACTGAAAAAGCAAGGTTTACTAGCGGAAGTACCAATTACGACTACACCTAAAAGTTCCTTCTCCATAAAAGTGGTCACTGATGAAGATGCTGCTGATGCTGAAGATGAAGACGAAGATGATGATGATTGGTTTACCGATTCAAATAAAACCGAAAGTTCCAATGTTCCCCGTCCTACCTCTAGTTTAATATCAAGCCTATCCGCTGGCATAGCCGATCTTAAAGATTCTGTAAGATTACCTACCCAAGTGAACATACATGATTTAGCTGCCACTACAGAACAGAATTTTAATGATTCTGCTACTACTTTAGTAATACAAGAGCTTCCAAAACCTACCACTTTTTATACGGATTTAAATGATAGCTCAGAGGAGGATGAGTTGAATCTGGATATCTTACGGAGACAAAAACGTCAAGGTTTCTTTGACTTTTTATTGGGTTTTAGTGATGATTCAGATGGTACTCTTAAATATGCTATAGATGATTTGGAATTTCATACGAAACAGTTCCCATATCCAGCTTATACGGAGGATGAGTAAGTTTTGGTATTTTTAATAGAAGAGGAAAACCGACTTTGTATTTTGTAAATCTTTTAATTTCAGTTTCAAAACTGGTATTTATTTGGCTCAAGCTATACAGTGTGCATTCTTTTTGGGTCTAGTAGCAGAAATCGCCTCTTGTGTGAGACATTTGATATGGATGCGAGAGTCGAGAAATTCTATGGTGAGTTTATTTTTACACAAAACTCTTGTATAGACTTATTTTCTACAGAAAACTCCCTAATTTTCTATAGAAAACTTTTTTATCGAATTATTTTCTATAGAAAACTCTTTTATCGAATGATTTTCTATAGAAAACTCTTTTATGGAAAGATTTTCTATCAAAAATTATTCTCTCGTTGATCGAGAGACATCTTCTATAAGAAATTTCTCGCTGATTGAGAGACATTTTCTATAGGAAATCTCTTGCTGATCGAGAGACATTTTCTATAGAAAATCTCTCCCTGATCGAGAGACATTTTCTATTGGAAATCTCTCGCTGATCGAGAGTCATTTTCTATGGGAAATCTCTCGCTGATCGAGAGTCATTTCTATAGGAAATTTCTCGCTGATCGAGAGACATTTTCATTAGGAAATCTCTCGCTGATTGAGAGTCATTTTCTATAGAAAATCTCTCACTGATCGAGAGACATTTTCTATAGGAAGTCTCTCAATGATCGAGAGACATTTTCTATAGGAAATCTCTCGCTGATTGAGAGAAATTTTCTATAGAAAATCTCTCGCTGATTGAGAGACATTTTCTTTGGGAAATCTCTCGCTGATAGAGGGACTTTTTCTATACGAAATCTCTCACTGATCGAGAGACATTTTCCATAGGAAATCTCTCATTGATCGAGAGACATTTTCTATAGGAAGTCTCCCAATGATCGAGAGACATTTTCTATAGAAAATTTTTCCAATTACCAAAAAATTTTCTGTAGAAAATATTTTTGATTAAAGGAAAAATTTCATTTTCGATTTTTTATTTACTTTTCCATCTTTAGATCATGCGCTCTATGGGCTTGAAACCTTGCTCCGAATTGACTTCCTGGTGTATAGTGACTTTTTTGGAATTACTTATAATATTTATCGGCTGCAGTATTATTTTATATTCAGGCGGTATGGTGGTCTATACCAAATGGTTGTTTGTTATGATTTATCTCTGTATCTTTGGAGCTTGTCTTATATCTTTCTGGTAGGAAACTTCAAATTTTCTTGTTAAAACTTCTTTATTAACTCAATAATTTTTTTTCGCAGCTACTTGTGTTCAACTTTCTTTATGTCAGCCACGATAGGAGCTGTAGCCACCGCTGTCATTTTCTTCATTACCTTCTGTCCTTACATTATAGTTTTACTATTTGATGCTCAATTGAATTCTTTGCAAAATTTTGCCATTAATTTATCTTTTACCACTGCATTTGCTCATGGCTGGAGTCATATTATGCGCATGGAATTGCAAGAAGTTGGTTTAAGTTTTGAGTCAGTATTTCGTGAAGGTTTAAGGGGAGAATACGGTTTTGCTTTGTTTATGATTGTACTGGATTTGTGTATTTATACATTTATTGGTTATGTTCACCAGAGATTTAAGGATGGTGAGTAAAGGGGTATTCAAATTTAGATTCGATAATTTATAGAAATTTTTCTTTTAAAGATGAATTCCGTTTTACTGAAGTCCAAAGAGAAGATTTAGATTCTAGTGTGGGTGCTACACTGACAAATGTTACCAAAGTTTATAATGAAAATAAAATTGCTGTTAGCGACATTTCCCTATCGTTTCCCAGAAATCAAGTCACTTGTCTGTTGGGTCGTAATGGTGCTGGAAAGAGTACAATAATGTAAGTTTATTGTTTCCATCTTAATCTGAGTATTTAACTAATGTTTCCTTTACTCTCTTAGAAAAATGCTTACCGGTCAGGTGGTGCAAACAACTGGTCGTGTTATTCTTTCCCAGGCTATGTCTAACTCTACCGATTATGATAAGATTGGTGTTTGTGCCCAGGATAATATTTTGATACCAAATCTAACGGCTCGTGAGCATTTGGAAATGTATGCAAAAATAAAATTGAAAAATGGTTACGAAGCGGAAGTTAATAAAACTCTAAAGAATTTAAATTTTGGAAAACATGAAAGTTATCAGGCTTCACAGTTATCGGGTGGCTATCAGAGGCGATTGTGTGTGGCGATAGCTTTTATAGGTGAGCAAAGAAAACATCGAGACATGTTCTATATAAAACTCTTCTCTAGACACATTTTCTACAGAAAATTCTTCAATCGAAAAACTTTTTTAGCGAAAGACATTCTATAGAAAAACTTTTTCAGCCAAATATTTTCTATATAAAACTTTTCCAGCAAGATTTTCTTTAGAAAATTTCTCTTAATCTTTTCCAGCGAAAGATTTTCTATAGAAAACTTTAACAGCCAAAGATTTTCTATAGAAAACTTTAACAGCCAAAGATTTTCTATAGAAAACTTTACCAGCGAAAGATTTTCTATAGAAAACTTTACCAGCGAAAGATTTTCTATAGAAAACTTTACCAGCGAAAGATTTTCTATAGAAAACTTTGCCAGCGAAAGATTTTCTATAGAAAACTTTGCCAGCGAAAGATTTTCTATAGAAAACTTTGCCAGCGAAAGATTTTCTATAGAAAACTTTACCAGCGAAAGATTTTCTATAGAAAACTTTACCAGCGAAAGATTTTCTATAGAAAACTTTACCAGCGAAAGATTTTCTATAGAAAACTTTAACAGCGAAAGATTTTCTATAGAAAACTTTACCAGCGAAAGATTTTCTATAGAAAACTTTACCAGCGAAAGATTTTCTATAGAAAACCTTACCAGCGAAAGATTTTCTATAGAAAACCTTACCAGCGAAAGATTTTCTATAGAAAACTTTACCAGCGAAAGATTTTCTATAGAAACTTTACCAGCGAAAGATTTTCTATAGAAAACTTTACCAGCGAAATATTTTCTATAGAAAACTTTACCAGCGAAAGATTTTCTATAGAAAACTTTACCAGCGAAAGATTTTCTATAGAAAACTTTACCAGCGAAAGATTTTCTATAGAAAACTTTACCAGCGAAAGATATTCTATAGAAAACTTTACCAGCGAAAGATATTCTATAGAAAAACTTTACCAGCGAAAGATTTTCTATAGAAACTTTACCAGCGAAAGATTTTCTATAGAAAACTTTACCAGCGAAAGATTTTCAATAGAAAACTTTGCCAGCGAAAGATTTTCTATAGAAAACTTTACCAGCGAAAGATTTTCTATAGAAAACTTTACCAGCGAAAGATTTTCTATAGAAAACTTTACCAGCGAAAGATTTTCTATAGAAAACTTTACCAGCGAAAGATATTCTATAGAAAACTTACCAGCGAAAGATTTTCTATAGAAAACTTTACCAGCGAAAGATTTTCTATAGAAAACTTTACCAGCGAAAGATTTTCAATAGAAAACTTTGCCAGCGAAAGATTTTCTATAGAAAACTTTACCAGCGAAAGATTTTTCTATAGAAAACTTTACCAGCGAAAGATTTTCTATAGAAAACTTTACCAGCGAAAGATTTTCTATAGAAAACTTTACCAGCGAAAGATTTTCTATAGAAAACTTTACCAGCGAAAGATTTTCTATAGAAAACTTTACCAGCGAAAGATTTTCTATAGAAAACTTTACCAGCGAAAGATTTTCTATAGAAAACTTTACCAGCGAAAGATTTTCTATAGAAAACTTTACCAGCGAAATATTTTCTATAGAAAACTTTACCAGCGAAAGATTTTCTATAGAAAACTTAACCAGCGAAAGATTTCTATAGAAAACTTTACCAGCGAAAGATTTTCTATAGAAAACTTTACCAGCGAAAGATATTCTATAGAAAACTTTACCAGCGAAAGATATTCTATAGAAAACTTTACCAGCGAAAGATTTTCTATAGAAAACTTTACCAGCGAAAGATTTTCTATAGAAAACTTTACCAGCGAAAGATTTTCAATAGAAAACTTTACCAGCGAAAGATTTTCTATAGAAAACTTTACCAGCGAAAGATTTTCTATAGAAAACTTTACCAGCGAAAGATTTTCTATAGAAAACTTTACCAGCGAAAGATTTTCTATAGAAAACTTTACCAGCGAAAGATTTTCTATAGAAAACTTTACCAGCGAAAGATTTTCTATAGAAAACTTTACCAGCGAAAGATTTTCTATAGAAAACATTACCAGCGAAAGATTTTCTATAGAAAACTTCACCAGCGAAAGATTTTCTATAGAAAACTTCACCAGCGAAAGATTTTCTATAGAAAACTTCACCAGCGAAAGATTTTCTATAGAAAACTTTACCAGCGAAAGATTTTCTATAGAAAACTTTACCAGCGAAAGATTTTCTATAGAAAACTTTACCAGCGAAAGATTTTCTATAGAAAACTTTACCAGCGAAAGATTTTCTATAGAAAACTTTACCAGCGAAAGATTTTCTATAGAAAACTTTACCAGCGAAAGATTTTCAATAGAAAACTTGCCAGCGAAAGATTTTCTATAGAAAACTTTACCAGCGAAAGATTTCTATAGAAACTTTACCAGCGAAAGATTTTCTATAGAAAACTTTACCAGCGAAAGATTTTCTAGAAAACTTACCAGCGAAAGATTTTTTTAAAAAACTTTTCAATCGAATGGTATTCTAGTGTAAAACTTTTCTTATATTTCTCATTTTCTTCTCTTCCAGGATCTCCCAATGTTGTGATCTTAGATGAACCTTGCAATGGTGTTGATAATAAAGCCCGTAAAGATATATGGGACCTTATAGAGAGATTACGTAAAGGAAGGGCTGTCATATTTGCCACACATTTCCTCGATGAAGCTGAACATCTTAGCGATGTTATAGTCATCATGAAGAATGTAAGTTAAACACTTCGCTCATAATAGTTCTTCATAAACTTTTAATCTTGCAGGGAAAAATATAGCCAAACATAATCCGGAAACTTTGAAAAATCATTGTACCTCTTACTATGAAGTCTACATGAATTGCTGTGATTCACAAACTTCTGATGAAATTACCAAAAAGGCCGATAAACTGCTGACCAACTTTAGAGAATTAGAAAAATCTTCTACCACCGATTTAAGGTTAAGAATATCCTACGATCAACAGAATGAAAATTCATCGGAATATTTGAAATATTTACAAGAACTACAAAGTCAGGGAAGAATAAAGGATTTGAGTGTAGAAACGGAAAATTTGGAACATGTTTTCAAGAATTTGGATAAGAATTGTAATGGCAGTGTTAGATTCAATGGTCATGCCATCGATATGATGCAAAATGTTAAACTAAAGAAAGATTTCGGTTGGGATATGGTACGTGAGACGCCCTTGACTAGATTCGAAGCCATGCGCCAATTGTTCTGGAAACGTTTAGTGCATTTTAGCCGCAACTAACAAAATGTGTGTTGTGCGTAATAGTATACCGGCTCTCTTTGAAATTTGTGCCATGTGGTTTGTGGCTCAGCGGCTGAAGATGATTTTGATAAAACCATACAATTATCACGTGATCTATATCCCAAGACCACACAAATGTTAAGTATGGAAAAAATCTTTAGATTTTACCCAAAAAGTTTATGATAATATGAAACAGGATTGTTCTGCCGAAATGCCCTGTAAACAATTTCATAATTCGGAAAGATCATTCTATTGGATTCTAGAGACTTTGAATGATTATCAAGAGAAACGTTATGGTGGTTATAGTTTCAATGATAGCAAATCTATAGTTTGGTATAATAACAAAGGTTATCATGCCATGATGGCCTGGTTAAATGATATGAATTCCTATCTGCTGCAAATCGAAACAAATGATACCAACTATAAAATAACAGCCCTATAATGAACCCTGGGAATTGGGTTATATGGAATTGAGTACAACATCCATTGTAAGTTTAAGGGGATTTTGTGAAAGATTTTTATAATTAATATTTGTATTTCAGTTTACGCCAGGCTGGTGACTCCTGTATGGCTTTCATTTTGCTCATAGCCTTTTCAATGGTGGTGGCTGTAGCCTCGGTATATCTAGTCAATGAACGTGTTAAAGGTGAAAAGTTACAGCAGAAATTGTGCGGTGTCGATGCCTCCACCTATTGGGGTGTGGCTTTCGTTTGGGACTTTTTGGTGGGTTTAAGCGATTTAGAAATTTAATTTCAAGTTGTAATTGTTTTTCTTTCTTTAGATTATGATTTTAGCAGTATTGGTATGCAGTTCCATTATTCTGGCTTTTGATATGCCAGTGTTCACCGATCGCCAGCAACTGTGGGGTGTTATTGTCTTGGCCTTATTCTTTGCGTAAGTAATCGTTTCCATTCCAATGATTGCTAAACATTTTCTATAGAAAAACTTTAGATTGACAAGTCTTCTATAGAAAAACTTTCGATTGAAAAGTTTTCTATAGAAAAACTTTCGATTGAAAAGTTTTCTATAGAAAAACTTTCGATTGAAAAGTTTTATAGAAAAACTTTCGATTGAAAAGTTTTCTATAGAAAAACTTTCGATTGAAAAGTTTTCTATAGAAAAACTTTCGATTGAAAAGTTTTCTATAGAAAAACTTTCGATTGAAAAGTTTTCTATAGAAAAACTTTCGATTGAAAAGTTTTCTATAAAAAACTTTCGATTGAAAAGTTTTCTATAGCAAAACTCTCGATTGAAGAGTTTTCTATAGAAAAACTTTCGATTGAAAAGTTTTCTATAGAAAAACTTTCGATTGAAAAGTTTTCTATAGAAAAACTTTCGATTGAAAAGTTTTCTATAGAAAAACTTTCGATTGAAAAGTTTTCTATAGAAAAACTTTCGATTGAAAAGTTTTCTATAGAAAAACTTTCGATTGAAAAGTTTTCTATAGAAAAACTTTCGATTGAAAAGTTTTCTATAGAAAAACTTTCGATTGAAAAGTTTTCTATAGAAAAACTTTCGATTGAAAAGTTTTCTATAGAAAAACTTTCGATTGAAAAGTTTTCTATAGAAAAACTTTCGATTGAAAAGTTTTCTATAGAAAAACTTTCGATTGAAAAGTTTTCTATAGAAAAACTTTCGATTGAAAAGTTTTCTATAGAAAATCTTTCGATTTGAAAAGTTTTCTATAGAAAATCTTTCGATTTGAAAAGTTTTCTATAGAAAATCTTTCGATTTGAAAAGTTTTCTATAGAAAATCGATTCAAAACTTTTCTATTCAAAAGTTTTCTACTCAAAAGTTTTCTATAGAAAAGCTTTCGATTCAAAAACTTTCTATAGAAAAACTTTCAATTCAAAAACTTTCTATAGAAAAACACTCGATTGACAAGTTTTCTATAGAAAAACTTTCGATTGACAAGTTTTCTATAGAAAAACTTTCGATTGACAAGTTTTCTATAGAAAAACTTTCGATTGACAAGTTTTCTATAGAAAAACTTTCGATTGACAAGTTTTCTATAGAAAAACTTTCGATTGACAAGTTTTCTATAGAAAAACTTTCGATTGACAAGTTTTCTATAGAAAAACTTTCGATTGACAAGTTTTCTATAGAAAAACTTTCGATTGACAAGTTTTCTATAGAAAAACTTTCGATTGACAAGTTTTCTATAGAAAAACTTTCGATTGACAAGTCTTCTATAGAAAAACTTTTGATTGACAAGTCTACTATAGAAAACTTTCGATTGACAAGTTTTCTATAGAAAAACTTTCGATTGACAAGTTTTCTATAGAAAAACTTTCGATTGACAAGTTTTCTATAGAAAAACTTTCGATTGACAAGTTTTCTATAGAAAAACTTTCGATTGACAAGTTTTCTATAGAAAAACTTTCGATTGACAAGTTTTCTATAGAAAAACTTTCGATTGACAAGTTTTCTATAGAAAAACTTTCGATTGACAAGTCTTCTATAGAAAAACTTTCGATTGACAAGTCTTCTATAGAAAAACTTTCGATTGACAAGTCTACTATAGAAAAACTTTCGATTGACAAGTTTTCTATAGAAAAACTTTCGATTGACAAGTTTTCTATAGAAAAACTTTCGATTGACAAGTTTTCTATAGAAAAACTTTCGATTGACAAGTTTTCTATAGAAAAACTTTCGTTTGACAAGTTTTCTATAGAAAAACTTTCGATTGACAAGTTTTCTATAGAAAAACTTTCGATTGACAAGTTTTCTATAGAAAAACTTTCGATTGACAAGTTTTCTATAGAAAACTTTCGATTGACAAGTTTTCTATAGAAAAACTTTATTGACAAGTTTTCTATAGAAAAACTTTCGATTGACAAGTTTTCTATAGAAAAACTTTCGATTGACAAGTTTTTATAGAAAAACTTTCGATTGACAAGTCTTCTATAGAAAAACTTTCGATTGACAAGTCTACTATAGAAAAACTTTCGATTGACAAGTTTTCTATAGAAAAACTTTCGATTGACAAGTTTTCTATAGAAAAACTTTCGATTGACAAGTTTTCTATAGAAAAACTTTCGATTGATAAGTTTTCTATAGAAAAACTTTCGATTGACAAGTTTTCTATAGAAAAACTTTCGATTGACAAGTTTTCTATAGAAAAACTTTCGATTGACAAGTTTTCTATAGAAAAACTTTCGATTGACAAGTTTTCTATAGAAAAACTTTCGATTGACAAGTTTTCTATAGAAAAACTTTCGATTGACAAGTTTTCTATAGAAAAACTTTCGATTGACAAGTTTTCTATAGAAAAACTTTCGATTGATAAGTTTTCTATAGAAAAACTTTCGATTGACAAGTTTTCTATAGAAAAACTTTCGATTGACAAGTTTTCTATAGAAAAACTTTCGATTGACAAGTTTTCTATAAAAAACTTTCGATTGACAAGTTTTCTATAGAAAAACTTTCGATTGACAAGTTTTCTATAGAAACACTTTCGATTGACAAGTTTTCTATAGAAAAACTTTCCATTGACAAATTTTCTATAGAAAAACTTTCCATTGACAAATTTTCTATAGAAAAACTTTCCATTGACAAGTTTTCTATAGAAAAACTTTCCATTGACAAGTTTCTATAGAAAACTTTCCATTGACAAGTTTTCTATAGAAAAACTTTCGATTGACAAGTTTTCTATAGAAAAACTTTCGATTGACAAGTTTTCTACAGAAAAACTTTCTATTCAAAAGTTTTATATAGAAAAACTTTCTATTCAAAAGTTTTCTATAGAAAAACTCTCGATTGACAAGTTTTCTTTAGAAAAACTTTTGATTGACAAGTTTTCTATAGAAAAACTTTAGATTGAAAATTTTGCTATAGAAAATCTTTCGATTGACAAGTTTTCTATAGAAAAACTTTCGATTGACAAGTATTCTATAGAAAAACTTTCGATTGACAAGTTTTCTATAGAAAAACTTTCGATTGACAAGTTTTCTATAGAAAAACTTTCGATTGACAAGTTTTCTATAGAAAAACTTTCGATTGACAAGTTTTCTATAGAAAAACTTTCGATTGACAAGTTTTCTATAGAAAATCTTTCGATTGACAAGTTTTCTATAGAAAATCTTTCGGATTAAAAGTTTTCGATAGAAAATCTTTTGGTTGAAAAGTTTTCGATAGAAAATCTTTTGGTTGAAAAGTTTTCGATAGAAAATTTTTTGGTTGAAAGGATTTCTATAGAAATATTTTCTATGAAGTTCTATCATCGAAAGATCTGTTCCTTTCATGGAAAGTCCTGAAGTCTTTTAATGAAATTTCTTTTATCAAAGGTTACACATTAAATCTTTAAATATTGAACTTATTTCTTTTACAGTTTTGCCTGCATACCTGCCGTTCATGTCTTCGAAAAGTGTTTCGCCGATTCCAGTGTGGCCATTGTTACGATTTTCATCTTAAATGTCATCATACCTCTCTTCACCATGTCCATTATTGTATTATTGGGTGTGGTGGGTGATTCTGCCACCTGGGATGAGTGGCGTTTCTTCTTAAATCATCGTTTATTCCTTATCTTCCCTCAGCATGCTTTAGGCGATGGTCTACTCGAAATATGTAAAAATTATATGGTTGCATTGGTTTTCAAACGTTACGATATTGATTCTTATAAAAATCCTGTAACCAGTGATTTGCTTAAACCCCACTATATCTCATTAACCATATTGGGTATATTGTTTATATGTATCAATGTCCTGCTAGAGTCCGGTTTATGGTATAAGTGTAAGGAGAAATCAGTGAACGTGTGGGTCTATTCCAAGCCAAAGATAAGAAACATTTTGAAGAATTGAAAATTGTTTCAATACAAAATTCTCTTAAGAGAAATGATAAAATGGATAGTACACCTGCTTTAAAAGTGGAAAATCTTTGCAAATCCTATGGTAAAAATCAATATGCAGTATCGAATATAACGTTCTCGGTTAATGCAGGAGAATGCTTTGGTTTATTGGGTAAAAATGGTGCTGGCAAATCGACTATTTTCAAAATGCTGTCGGGACAAGTGCAACCCAATGTGGGTCATATTGTCTATGAAAATGTGAGTTTCTAAACTTGATATCATAAGTAGCTTTACAAAAATATAATATTTTACTTTCAACAGCCGGAAATTTCCTATTGTCCTCAAACTAATACTTTGGATTCCTTACTTACTGTGCGAGAATGCATAGAATTTTATGGACGTCTAAGACGTATTACCAATATACCCAAGGTAATTTCTTTCTTTCTTTCAAAATATTTATTTCAAATTGACAATTTCTTTATTAAAATTCATTAATCAGTATTTCCATGTGAATACACTCTATAAGACTATGTGAGAGTGTAGTTATTTTTCCATGAGATAAACGCATAAAATTTTTTTCCTTTCTCATAAATTCTGCCGGATTTTGGTCATCATTTAAATCTCGTATTTGCATTATCGAACTGAGTGATGACTCCATTTCCTTATCGTACACTGTAACCGTACAATATATAGGTTTTACCGTCTGTACACTAGCCAACCAAAGTACTAAAAGTTCTTGTTTTAAAGAATTCGGATTGTGAATATTGCCTTTAAGTTTTTCTTTATTACCCAACAGCGTTGACCAAGAGGTGCGACAGGCCATTATGAGAATGGGTAGATGGGAAGTTAAATGTTCGTAGGGTTTGGGTAAAAAGGCATTATTTATACAGAGACCTCTTTCCGTGGGTCGCGAAGAACTGGAAGTGAAGAAAATTGTGACAATTAGGTGGTTAGGTTGCAATAAGTGAATTTTGGGGTCATCTTTAAGACATCGATTTTCTATAGGAAATCAAACGATAGAAGAGTTTTCTATAGTGAAACTTACAATAGAATACTTTCTTATAAAAATCTTTCGAGAGAAAAGTTTTGTATAGAAAATCTTTTGATAGGAAAGTTTTGGTTAAAAAATCTTTTGATAGAGGAGAGATTTCTTCAGAAAATTGTTAAAAGATTTTTCTAAAATTAATTTTTCAAAAGAAGATTCTGCAATAACAGATTCTTCTTTAGGAAATCTCTCGAAATTGACAAGTTTTCTATAAAAAAAAAACTTTCGATTGTCAAGTTATCTATAGAAAATCTTTCGATTGAAAAGTTTTATATAGAAAATCTTTCGATTGAATAGTTTTCTATAGAAAATCTTTCGATTGAATAGTTTTCTATAGAAAATCTTTCGATTGAATAGTTTTCTATAGAAAATTTTTCGATTGAATAGTTTTCTATAGAAAATCTTTCGATTGAATAGTTTTCTATAGAAAATCTTTCGATTGAATAGTTTACTATAGAAAATCTTTCGATTGAATAGTTTTCTATAGAAAATCTTTCGATAGAACAGTTTCCTATAGAAAATCTTTCGATAGAACAGTTTTCTATAGAAAATCGTTCGATAGAACAGTTTTCTATAGAAAATCTTTCGATAGAACAGTTTTCTATAGAAAATCTTTCGATAGAACAGTTTTCTATAGATAATCTTTCGATAGAACAGTTTTCTATAGAAAATCTTTCGATAGAACAGTTTTCTATAGAAAATCTTTCGATAGAACATTTTTCTATAGAAAATCTTTCGATAGAAACGTTTTCTATAGAAAATCTTTCGATAGAAAAGTTTTCTATAGAAAATCTTTCGATAGAACAGTTTTCTATAGAAAATCTTTCGATTGAAAAGTTTTCTATAGAAAATCTTTCGATTGAACAGTTTTCTATAGAAAATCTTTCGATAGAACATTTTTTATAGAAAATCTTTCGATAGAACAGTTTTCTATAGAAAATCTTTCGATAGAACAGTTTTCTATAGAAAATCTTTCGATAGAACAGTTTTCTATAGAAAATCGTTCGATAGAACATTTTTCTATAGAAAATCTTTCGATAGAACAGTTTTTATAGAAAATCTTTCGATAGAACAGTTTTCTATAGAAAATCTTTCGATAGAACAGTTTTCTATAGAAAATCTTTCGATAGAACAGTTTTCTATTGAAAATCTTTCGATAGAACAGTTTTCTATAGAAAATCTTTCGATTGAATAGTTTTCTATAGAAAATCTTTCGATTGAATAGTTTTCTATAGAAAATCTTTCGATTGAATAGTTTTCTATAGAAAATCTTTCGATTGAATAGTTTTCTACAGAAAATCCTTTGATTGAATAGTTTTCTATAGAAAACCTTTCGATTGAATAGTTTTCTATAGAAAATCTTTCGATTGAATAGTTTTCTATAGAAAATCTTTCGATTGAATAGCTTTCTATAGAAAATCTTTCGATTGAATAGTTTTCTATAGAAAATCTTTCGATAGAAAAGTTTTCTATAGAAAATCTTTCGATAGAAAAGTTTTCTGTAGAAAGTCTTTCGATAGAACAGTTTTCTATAGAAAATCTTTCGATTGATCGGTTTTCTATCGAAAAATCTTTCGATTGATCGGTTTTCTATCGAAAAATCTTTCGATTGATCGGTTTTCTATCGAAAAATCTTTCGATTGATTGGTTTTCTATCGAAAAATCTTTCGATTGATCGGTTTCTATCGGAAAATCTTTCGATTGATCGGTTTTCTATCGAAAAATCTTTCGATTGATCGGTTTTCTATCGAAAATTCATTCAATTGTCATTCTATATCCAATTTTTCGGTGGAAAAATTTTCAATAGAAAATCTCTTAGTTAAATAGTTTTCTATTAGAAATCTTCTGAATGACGAGTTTTCTATAAAAAAACGTGTTTTTTAGATAACTTTAACCTCTTACCTGTCATTCGCATAGCCGCCATAGGCCAAAATACCCAAACAAACATTTTCATGAAAATCCGAATTCGTCGGATCGAATATTAAAACCGAAGGTTTTCCGGCATAAATCTCTTGACAAGGTACACCAAAATCTTCACTATGATCACGTAGAAAATGCGACAACACAAAAGTAACACCAAGCGTACGATTACAAATACTAATGGGGCATTGGACCGGGGTACGTGTTAATGAGAGAAGAGATTTACGTTTTAGCAAAGATTTACCATCATTTTCGTCATCTCCCCAACATTTTTAGGATTTTGCTCTTCCCTTCTGGCTGCTATACAACCAAATGAATTCAAATTATGATCACAACTACCCAAACGTAATTGTTGGCGAAATTTCGCTATATCTTGGGTGCTAAACTGTTCAAATTCTTCTTTCGTTAGCATACGATTTAGATGAAAGTCCGTAAAGTTTGGATTAAATTTTAAAAGTTCTTCTTTGCGTTGATTAATGAACTGTTCTTCTTCTTTGGATTGTTTGAATTTTTGAAAATTTTTATAGTGATCGTATTTTGTGGGTTGTTGAAATAGAGGGCGTTCTGGTGCTGAGCCCACAGGATTGATTTGCAAACGATTACAATCTTGACAGATATTAGACATGACTTTTAGGTTTAATTTATTAAAAGCGGCAAATTCTCTAAATTAAATGGATATTATTATTAAAAAATTTAGTTTTGGACGAACGAAACGAACTTGAAATTTTTAATTTATCTTTGAAAGCAAATCGATATTGACAGTTTTTTACATGATACAAATGTATATATATATTTACCATGGTTTTCTATTTCCCTTAATAAATTTAAGTTGGTTGCCAGCATTTTGGAATCTTTTCAACTGGAAACGTATCGTGATGTATTGGTGAAAAATCTATCAGGTGGTAATCGTCGTAAATTAACAGTGGCTACTTCTTGTTGTGGACCACTTCTGTGGTTTTAATGGATGAACCAACCAGTGATATGGATCCGGTAACCAGAGCAATTGTTTATCGTACAATAGATGATTTGTTGGCCGAAAAGAGAGCAATAGTTTTAACTTCTCATTCAATATCGGAAATTGATGAAACATGTCATCGTATTGCCGTGCTGAAAGAGGGTCAAATGTTAACCTGCAGTAGTCCTGATAATTTGAAAGCTCAATATGGTGGCTATTATAATGTTACTGTCTATTGTGATCAGGATAAGATTAATAATTTGGAAAAGGAAATACGCCGTAAATTTTCCGATTGTAAAGATTTACAACTTTATGCTCATTCCATTAAGTTTAGTTTGAAAGTTCAGAATCCGATTCATAATGGTGATAAAGCTAAAGAGGTAAGATATTGAATCAAAAATCTCTGTGTTGACACAGAAAAATCTTTCGATAGAACAGTTTTCTATGGAACATTTCTCAATACAAAATTTTTCTGTAGAGAATCAATAGAAAATCTTTCGATTGAAAAGTTTTCTATAGAAAATCTTTCGATTGAAAAGTTTTCTATAGAAAATCTTTCGA